CCAGTGAAGCATTCAACAAAACGCTCTTGTTACTGTCACCATTGCCGGGCCTGCTGTCATTCCCATTCGTGAGTCCATCTGTGTAAGTGCAGTGCAGAATCACACGCGCCATCTCGTTCGCGGCGAAAATGGGTTTCTTGAACGCCGGGTGATGAAGCACTGGAAGTGTGTGCGAGGCAGAGAGCGTCAACTCCACCGGCCGCTGGGCATAGTAGCAGCAGAGCAGCGCCTTGAGCGCCTGCGTGTTCGCCTTCTCTGAAAGCAACCTTAAGCTCATTATCCTCTCCTTCTGCGGTTCCTGAAGTTGACACCAACAACTGTCGCCGCGTCCACGTCCCACGTTCCTTTTTTTTTTACGCAATTTGCCCTTCGTTGCTAGTTACCAGATGGAAAAACAAAAACAAAAAAAAAAAAGATTGACGCACACACGCTCGTGTGTATATATGTGTGTGTATGTGTGCATTCGTTTGTGTGTCTTGTTGTTGATGCTGCAAGAGATCGCATAAACAACGCGTACGAACTGCTGCAGTGAGTGTGTCTTAATGGGCACCCGCACCTCCCCCCCTGGTGCTCCTACAGCTAACTACAAAATTCCTACGCATCGGAGGCACAACATATTTCCTAACCCGCCCATTCCTCCGCATAGTCACACACACACACACACACACACACACACATACGCATACACAGAGAGAGAGAGAGAGGAAATAAAAAGAACGAAATAAAAAATAGCAGGGAAGACATGCTTGACCTCGGCCTCTAATGTCATGTCCGATACATGCTTTCTTATTATTCTTATGTTTCTCTCTCTTCTTCTTCTGTGGGTTTATCTCCATCTCGCCATCAAAACCGATTACGTATTACTCCTTCGCTCCTCGCTTACCGCCCCAGTTTCTTCCCTCGCACCTAGAGCAAGCTGACACCAGCCACAAAAAGGAACAGGGAGAAAGAGAAGGCTGACAAAAAAAAAAAAAAAAAATTACGGGGGAAAGTTACGCAGTCTGTGCATCGTCCAGCGAACGCTTCGGAAACACAACTTCACCCTCCGCCACGGTGCCGATAGGCGTCCCGGATGGGATGACGCCAAACTCAAAATTCTCCAACCCGATACGATTCGCCTCTGGGACTCCCAGCATGTCAAAAATAACAGGTGCCTTCTGTGAGAGAACCGGGCTAAGCATGAGCGTCGCCAGGCGAACTCCCTCCATGCTGATGTACAACACTGTACGCAGCCGAGCAGAATCTGTCTTCACCAGCTTCCACGGAGCGTTCTCCGTGATGTAGCTGTTGATGGCGCGAAGAACCTCAAACACAGCCGCCAGCGCCTTTTGCACGTCAGGGATGCAGAAGAAGTGATCTACCGTGCCAGGCATATCTTTGATGAACTGAATAAGCAGTTCATCCTTGTCGTTGTAGACGTCAGGGGTCGGCCACTCCCGATTGACGTTGATCTTGGCGGAGATGCACCGCATCACGAGATTGCCAAGGGTGTCGGCAAGCTCACCGTTAAGACGGGCAATCATGTTCCTGTCGCTGTAGTCGCCATCATCAGAGAAGCCGGACTCGCGTAGAAGAAAATACTTAAGTGCATCGTGGCCAAACTCACGTGCCTTTTCCACGGGCTCAAAGACGTTGCCAAGGGATTTGCTGATCTTTTTGTGATCCTTGGTCCACCAACCATGTGCAACGATCTTTTTGGGCAAAGGAAGACCCGCTGAAAGCAAAAAGGCTGGCCAATAAATGGCGTGAAACTTCAAAATATCCTTCCCAATAACGTGCACATCGGCAGGAAAACGCTCCAGCTCACGGTAGTCCTCGACGAGTTCCAGCTCCTCCCCGGACGCACCTAGGCGAAGGCGTGCGCCGGTGTAGTAGTTGGAGAGGGCATCAAGCCAAACATAGACGCAGTGTTCTGGGTTTCCAGGAACCGGAAAGGCCCAGTTGTGCACAGACTCCCTCGTGCGCGAGACGCTCAGGTCGTTTAGGCCCTTTTCCACCGCACGGATGACCTCACGGCGGCGAAACTCCGGGACAATGCAGCCGGGGTTGTTGTTGTACCACTCCAGCAGGCGCTCACGAAAGGCGCTGAGACGAAACATGTAGTTTTCCTCCGCTAGCCATGTCACAACGTGGCCGCTCTCAAGGCTCACCTTGCATGGATTGCCGTCCTTGTCCACACCGTCGGTGACGTTCTGCGCTGTCAAAAAGGACTCGTCACTCACCGAATACCACCCCTCATAGCGGCCCAGGTAGATATCCCCCTGAGCCTCGAGTTTCGACCATAGCTCGCCCACAACCTTTTTGTGACTTTCACTTGTGGTGCGGATGAAGTAGTCCATGCGGTACCCCATCTGCGCGAAGCATTCCTTAAACTCCATGGACACCTTAGTTGTAAAGTCGTACGGTGTCACGCCCTTCTGTCGGGCAGCGTCTGCCACCTTTTGCCCGTGCTCGTCGGTTCCCGTCATCACAAACACACGCTCCCCTTTTATGGTGTGGTACCGGGCAATGACATCCGCAATCAGGGTGCTGTAAACATGGCCAATATGTGGGGAAGCATTCACATAATAAATAGGTGCCGTAATAAAGAAGACTTTACTGACGCTCGGTGATACCTTGTACACGCGCGGCGCGCGCAGAAAATCCGCCAACTCCTGCACTGCAAGAGCCTCAAAGGCGCCAGCTATAAGCTCTTCTCTTGTCGCCTGAAACAACTGAAACCATTTCAAGAGATACGGCACCTGCGCGCGCTCCTGTTCACTCAGCAGACCACCTTCGCACAATGCCGGCAAAACGGCACACCAAATGATGCAATCAATAAGAAACGAAGGGGTTGCCTCCGTCCCCTCCGCGGGAACCATACAAAGACCCCTACAGTTGTTTGCGCTGACCTTATTGTCAAGGTACTCAAACACCGCCATGGCCTCTGGCGTCGCCCGGCGCTGGGTATACAACGAATGCACCGCCCGCGTGAAGGTGGTCGCCTCCCACTCCATCCAGGCCTCCTCCTCCAGTGAAGCATTCGACAAAACGCTCTTGTTACTGTCACCATTGCCGGGCCTGCTGTCATTCCCATTCGTGAGTCCATCTGTGTAAGTGCAGTGCAGAATCACACGCGCCATCTCGTTCGCGGCGAAAATGGGTTTCTTGAACGCCGGGTGATGAAGCACTGGAAGTGTGTGCGAGGCAGAGAGCGTCAACTCCACCGGCCGCTGGGCATAGTAGCAGCAGAGCAGCGCCTTGAGCGCCTGCGTGTTCGCCTTCTCTGAAAGCAACCTTAAGCTCATTATCCTCTCCTTCTGCGGTTCCTGAAGTTGACACCAACAACTGTCGCCGCGTCCACGTCCCACGTTCCTTTTTTTTTACGCAATTTGCCCTTCGTTGCTAGTTACCAGATGGAAAAACAAAAAAAA